GGAAGGAAGGAAGGAAGGAAGGAAGGAAGGAAGGAAGGAAGGAAGGAAAGTGGACTGTGGGTTGGAAAGCGAATCACCTTGCATCCAGCGTAAATAGTGAACTTCGTAGCCCCTGCATGGACACTGGCTGTGATTTTAAATATAATGCCAGCTGCAAATCAAATTGCCATACAGTCAGCTTTCCTGTGTAATCACAGGCAGACCTGTAATGTGGACTACGCAGTTCCATAGATATTGTAATTTCCAAGCAATCACAAATAAAATGTGAATAAAATGTGCAATTAAGAGTTCAATACATTTTTGAGATCAAGGATATTAAAAGTGTTACATATGGTAATCTCTCATATACAGATATGAGGTCTGGACTGTTAAGAAGGCTATATTCAATAGAATAAATGCTTTTGAAATGTGGACATACACAGGAATTCTTCACATACCATGGACCGACAGAAGAAATAATTAAGAGGTACTTTGTTTAGGAATTTAAAAAGAAATAGCGTTAATTATTAAGAAACACATGCTGTCCTATCTTGGACACATCGTTTGTCATGATAAATGTAATATACTGCAAAACTTTCTTGAAGGAAAGATTGTGGGGAAATATTGAAGAGGAGAAGACGGATTTATCAGACGAGTGACATCAAAAGTTAGGTGGACCTTAACAGAGAATAAGTAATTCACACAGCAAGAGGCAGGTGAAGAAATTGCATGATTGTAGACAACTTCAGCAAGTGAAACGACACCCAAGGAGAAAGAGAGAGAGAGAGTTTTGAAGCATGATGGATTATTCCAAGTAGAGAAGAATATTAAGTCCTACGATTTCATACTGTATAGTATTCCCAGTTACTATATATAGATCTAAAAGCTGGACCATGAAGAAAGCAGAGAGGAAGAATATCAATTCACATTAAATAAGGTGTTGGAAGACATCTTGATGGATATCACGGACTGCCAGAAAGACAAAGAAGTGGGTTCTACATCAGCTGAAACCTGGACTCTTAACTAGAAGCTAATACAGTATAGCTAAACTGAGGCTATTGTACTTTGCACATAACATGGGAAGACAAGAGTCACCAGAAGAGACAATAAGGTGGGGAAAAGCTGAAGGCGTCTTGAAAAGAGCTGAACATGAGATGGATGGATTCAATAAAGAAAACTACAGTTTTTTTATTCATAAGACCTGAGCGGGACTATGAACGACATGACCACCGGGCAGTCATTAATTCACAAGATGGACGTAAGTCAGAAAACACCATTGATTCAGTGGGTCGCTGCTGTTGTTGGCACAAATAACTGGTTCTAAGCTCTGCCCGTGTATTCAACAGGTTGACCTCTGCCATCCTGCAGATGGACAACAGCAAGTGGACCATATATGAGATCCATCAATTTTACATGAAAATTCCAGAATGTTCTGTGTGTTCTCCAAAGAGCGCAGGGAGCAAAAGACAGATGGAAAAGGTCCAATCAACACCTACACATATGCCTGGAGTTAAGAGATGTGAGTATATCTCGGTATCACTTCCGTTGTCTTTCTCCAAACCCCTGTCCTGTTTTATACTGTGTTGTGAAACTTTGCTTTTTATTCAGGTACTGTATGTACTTTTAAGGCATTCCCCTAATGTATGTATTTCTTTCAGCTGACATATGGATTTTCTCCCATTGGCTAAAGTGTGTCATATTTCAACAAATGTAGTCATTTTCCCCCTATTGCATCGATTTTGTCTGAGAGCATGTTAAAATATGCTTTTTGTTTTTAACCATCCCTGCCTGGAGTCACAGAATCGTAGTTCTACAAGCGTCATCTATTCCAACCTTTAGCTGCTACAGGAAATCCATGGCCACCCCGCTGATTCAGGTAACTCCCTCAGATGGCAAAATTCTGGTTGCTCTTCTGTTTGCTTGCAAGATACAGATGAGCTGCTATTTTTTTTTATTATTCTGTTATGTATAATTCTTCAGAGGAGGGCAGCAAGAATGATCAGGGACTGGAATGAAACAGAATAATATTTAACAGGGATAACTGCAAAGTCTTGCACCTCGGAAAAAGAAACACAGAGTTACAATATGGGGACACCTGGCTCAGCAACACTACAAGCAAGAAGGACCTTGGAATTGTGAGAGATCATAAGCTGATTATGAGCCAACAGTGTGATGTGGCTGCAAAAAAGGCAAATGCTATTTTAGGCTGCATTAACAAAAGGGACGTGGTGCCGCTCCGGGTTAAACCGCAGAAGCCTCTGTGCTGCAAGGTCAGAAGACCTGCAGTCGTAAAATTGAATCCACGCGACGGAGTGAGCCCCCATCGCTTGTTCCAGCTACCGCCAACCTAGCTGTTCAAAAGCATGCAAAATGCAAAAATGTGAGTAGATAAATAGGTACCACCTCGGTAGGAAGGTAACGGAGTTCTGTGTCTAGTCACGCTGGCCACGTGACCACGGAGGATTGTCTGCGGACAAAATGCTAGCTCTATGGGTTGGAAACGGAGATGAGCACCACCCCCTAGAGTCGGACACAACTGGACAAATTGTCAAGGGGAGCATTTACCTTTTACCTTTAACAAAAGTGTAGTTTCCAAATCCCAGGAGGTACTCGTTCCCCTCTATTCAGCACTGGTTAGGTCTCATTTTGAATTCTGTGTCCAGTTCGGGACACCTCTCTTGAAGAAGGATGCTGACAAATTCAGAGGAGGGCAACCAGGAGGATTGGGGGGGGGCTGGAAGCCATGCCCTAGGAGGAGCCACTGAAAGAACTGGGCATGTTTAGCCTTGAGAAAAGAGGGGAGATAGGATAGCACTCTTCAAATACTTGAAAGGTTGTGATACAGAGGAGAGGCAGGATCTGTTCTCAATCATCCCAGAGTGCAGGACACACCATAATAGACTCAAGCGACAGGAAGCCAGATTTAGGCTGAATATCAGGAAAAAAAACCTCTTAACTGTTAGAACAGTAAAATGACGGAACCCATGACTTCGGGAGGTGGTGAGTGCTCCAACGCTGGAGGCCTTCAAGAGAAAACTGTACCACCCTCTTTGTCCAATGTGCTTTGATCCGGATTCCTGCCTTGAAAAGGGAGTTGGATTCGATGGCTTCACAGACCAATTCCCACTGAATTATTCTAGAGCTTTGCGATTTCAGCACATAAAGTGAATGCTGCAGCAAACGTAGTACACACAAACAACATTCA